AAAACGATAATTTTTTTTTTTTTTTTTTTTTACTTTGATTGAAACATTTATTCCATCATTAATTTCGATTAATTTTTGAGGTTTCATGTTTCGTTCGGAAGTAATTTGTATAACAGAATCACCAGCATCTATTTCTTGACGATGCAGAATAATGCAAGAGTCCTCGTGCTCTATAAAATATTTGCATCTAATATAAATTTGTTTATTAAATTAACTTGAAATTTTAAGTAAAATTACTATTTATGTAACTGTCTGTTTTTGTTTCTTCACAATTGACACGTTTTTCGAACATATTAATTGTTTTTTTAACAGATTGTACCTCGTCTGGAATTAAAAATTAACTTAAAATCATAAAAGAAACAGTTTTATAATCATTATTAATACCAGAATCTTCTCGTAGAGCATTATCTACTATTTTACCCCATTCTTCTAAGCTATGTGCCTCTTTTATTATTTGATAGTTATCTAAATAAAAATAACGATCAAGTATTCAATTATTCATTATCTACATCATACATATTAGAATCTTATCATTAAATAGAATTATGCAAACTTGTTTCAATAGTAACTAAAGAAGATTCATCACTAGAATGTTTCCGTATATTAGAATGATTTAGCGTAATCAAATCAAGCGATTGACTTTCGGTATCCTGTTCTTTAATAACTGAATCTTGACTCTTATTCAAATTGATTTCCGTTGCATACATACTAGTTTCAGAAACTTGTGTTTCTGCCACGTTTTTGTTTATGGTATCACTTTCTACAATCTACAGTAGAAATATAATTTAATTGCTAAATTTGAATTATAATTGATTTCCAATACCTACGTCGTTTTCGGTAGCTGATTCCTTAGCGGAAATCATTGCAGTTGATTCTTCCGAATCTTGTGTGCAAAAAGAGGTTGATGTCTCTAGAGAATTGTGAGAAATTTTTCTTAAATTCTACTTTCAAAAAAATGAAATTTACCTTATATATTTCAAAATGTAGATTAATTAAAAGACTTTATTAAAAATGATTGAAATCTACCAATTTCACGACAAGGTGCTCTCAGTTGTTGGAGAAGATCTTCTGCTCGATCGATAACTGCTTCCATTTCACATAAAAGCGGTGCAGCATTTGGAAATCTTTCAGTTATCATACTCCAAACGAACTCGGCATCCTCTGTACCTTGCAATGATTTCGGCAAATCATGTTTTTGACACGTGGAATCTCGGCGTTCAGACATTCGAACAACACAGGCTTTATTATCCTTATTTCAAAATATTAAAGACCATCTATTCGATTGCCAGACTGGCAAGGAAGTCATATATTTAAAAAAAAAAAGTGTTTTGACTTCATTGACAGATTGACAACATTTAAAACAAAAGACGATGAGACATATAGCGACATTGAGTTTGCTTTGATAATATTTATATATATGTACACTATTTGTATATTCAATGAATAATGCGCAGAAATTAATTGAAATGTAAAACATTAAAAAGTGTGAATGAAACTTCTTTCTTATAAATATATATCTTAAAATTCACAATTACAAATACATGTTCGCAGGAATATGATCTACTTATTTACTAACCACTTGACGTTTATGCTTTCTATCAGACGAGATACAGAATAGATATAACATTTAATGCACTTCCTGTTCCATGTTTCGAGAATACTAGAATATTCTTACCATTTTAGTTTCATCTTTAACGTTATCGATTTGACTTAGAATAAAATTAAGACATATTGCAGTTTTGTAAAAGAAATGATGAAAATATGTTCATTGACATTCCGTATCTCGTCTGTAATCACATGCCAAGAACAAATACAAACAAGAAAAACAAATAATGAGAAAAGGATAGAAATATAATAAAAATTAGGGAATTAGCGCCATCTCTAGAACACAAATGAAATAAATATAAAGTAAAATAAAAAGAACAAAAGAAAAAAACAGAAATAAAACAGAATAAGAATTGATTATCAGCGCCATCTCTTGAATGCTAGATTTATCTCTTTAAAAATATTCAAGATATCGCTAATTTTCGATTTTTGCTTTCTTGAAAAAATATATTTGGTACTCAAGAGATGGCGCTGATAGTCAATTCTTGTTATATCATTCTTTTTTTCAAGTTTCGTAGAAATTTTAAAGACGATGAAGATTCTCCAATTACTTAATTTTTCCATTTATTCGCTTTCTTTTCTTATACTTGCTCTGCAAAAAGATGGCTTGTCTTTCTCGTTTAATCTTTTGATTGTAAAATTTTTATCAGAATTTATTCGATGTAATTTTTATATATGATAAACAAACATATTCGTTTTTGTCAAATATATTTTTATATATATTTACATTTTTAATTTATGAATAATTCAATTCTATTCATATTAGTCATAAAAAAATTATGGATACAGTCCAATATATATAACATATAGGAATATTTATAAAAGAATGTATCTAAGAAATTATTTTTAAAACTTATCGACTTTATCAATTTTGAATCGAATATAATTTTTTGCATTCAAAATCATAATGAGCATATATATGATTTTTTACACGATTAGGCATTTCATTTTTGCATCTCGTTTGACATTTTTATAAAGAGATTGAAACTTGAAAATCGATGATATATCTAATATTTAAAGCTGATTAATTATCTGAATTGTAAAAAAATTTGTTTCTAACAAAATATTTAAATAAATAAAAAATATTAATAATTGAAATAATTAATTAATAAAAAAGAAAATAAAAATATAGGCTTAGCGCGAAATTTTATTGATAAGATACCGCTTACCACTAAATTTAATACACATCACATAATTTCCTTATTGTAATGTGACTGTTAGGAATATATACAAAAAGCCATTATAGAGAATTCCTTGATATAAGATGATACATCAAAAAATGTATAGAATTCATTTAAGGTACGTATGAAGACATCCTATTTCTCTAAATGCGAATGGTGTTTTTCAGATGACAAGTGTACAATCAAAATTACGTATAACTAATGTACACAGATTGGTTCCATTAAGTAAATCATGTACAATTATTTAATTATACTTAAGCCGATTGTTAATTACATTCACTTCTTTTGTTTCGCTGTCCCTCATTTTACAAGATCTAAAGAATTTCACTTATCCATAATACGATGTACATGTTAATTACAAGTAGTAATGTCAAAAAAATCGACGTTTCTTAAAAAGAAAGGCATGAAAAATTGGCTTCTTAAATATATTTAGTCGTAGAAAAAAAGAAACAAAAAGAGGAAAGTTCCTCTTTAATTCTTTTCTTCTCACGATAAAAGTCTCTTCTTTTCTTGTTCCACATTTTCTTTAATCAACAACTTTTTGTTTATTACTTTCTGGAGATTTATCGCCATTCATTGGTGAACGAGAACGGCTACGGCTTTTGCTATGTTTACTGCCTGATCGAGATCTCGATATGTCACCTCGCGATCTTTCGCGGCTAGATCTATCTCTGGAAGAAGAGCTATATTAAAGAGATGACTGTGGATTGTTTTTTTTGCGCTAACTATATCGATTAAACTCACTTTGAAGGAGACTTAGCTTTAGATTTGGACTGTGACCTGGACTTTGACCTCTCAGCCTTGGACCTAGAACGAGATCTGGATTTGGACTTTGACTTAGATTTCGACTTTGAGCGGTCTCTTGATCTGGAAAATTATAGTTCAAATGAAGAAAATACAAAAAAATACAATTAAAAATATAAACTTTTTTAAATGATTTCATGTACTTTTCGTGTTAATATAATAGAATGACATTTTTTTCAAAAAATTAATCCAAACATAATGTCAAAAATAAAAATGAAATATTTATAAATATAGAAAATTTGCATTAATATTCGATAACAAATAAATGTACAAGAAAAATAGCAAATAAATGTTATACAAAATTATTTATATAACTAAAATTGATGTTAATATTAATAGAAGATTGATACTCACTTGGATTTAGATCGAGTTCGGCTACGTTCAGGTGATTTGGATTTCGATTTCGATTTTGATTTAGTATGTGCTCTTGATTTGGAACGGCTACTGCGACGGCTACGGCTGCGAGAACTACGGCGACTCCTGATACAATAAAAAAATTGTAATATATTTGAACTATTATTTACAAAATATATCTAATTAAATAATTATTATATCAATTACAAGTTGTTCTAAGTTATTATGATGTCTTATATCATGCATGACGAATTGGATGTATGATAAATATTCATAAAAGAAAATTTTTAAATTTAACCATGAAATATGGAAAGTAACTTTGAAATGATTGAAATTAGAAGTTAATATGCTATAAATATGATTAGTATTAAAGTAAAAATGATGGAGACATTGCCGCCCCCCCGACAGTACCTTGATCGGGATCGAGAACGACGATAATACCTTGAGCGGGAGCGGGATCGGCGACGAGATCGAGATCGTGACCGTGATCTTGATCTCGAACTTGAGGATCTTGAACGACGTCCCCGTCTCTTATCCTCGATAAGTCTGATTCTACGTCCATTTAGTTCTGTGTCATCCAATTTATCGATGGCGTTCTTCAAATCAGAATATGTTGCAAATTCTACAACTCTATAATATTAAGTTATATAATTAATCAAATTATATTTATATAACAAATAAAATTTTTTAAATCAATATAACTTACCCTTCGTTTCTGCGTTGTTTATGTGCATCTGCATATGTCACTTCACCAGCCTGTCTCATATAATCCTTCAAATCCTGAGTATCACACAAAAATACGGATTAGTATATTATAATGAAAAGAAAACGTGTCTTACAATTAATTATAACAAAGTACGATTAATATTCAGGTATGAATAAAACTAAGTTTTGTGTTTCTATACTAAAGATTACGCAGAAGTTAAAATGTATCCTGTGCACTTTTATTCACTATACTTCCTCTAATATATATTATGTAATAATCTTCCTTCTTCTGAAACATATAGCATAAGAATCTATCCTTACTGAAAAAACCATGTTATTGTCTCCTGTCTGCCCATAATCTTCAGTGTTGAAAATATATGTTGAAAACATGTGCTCGAATTTAGTATCTGCGATTGATGCAACCTTTCTTTTTATGCAATTCAATCTTTAAAACAAGTATAGTCATTTGTATAGTCAAACCTCCACCCTGCAGAAAAATATAGTCTTACATATTTTTTAAATAATTAACATATTTCTAAAATACTTTTTTTATTTAAATAAATAAACTAATGAATAAAATTTCTGCAGAGCAGCTCACAATAAAACTTCATTAAAATCATGAATATATATAAAAAAAACTTTTAAAGTCAATTTCTCTACCATTTATTTAATGCAGAAAGAAATTCTAAATTATATAATTCAATCAAAAACTATATGGACCGTTGAAAAGATGGAACTGCATAAGGCAGAGAGAAAGACAGTTGCTTGTGAAATCAAATAGTTAATGGAAGATGAATTGGTCTTGAAAATGCTGAAAAAAATTTTCCGTAGCTTTTAAAATATTTTTCAGATTATGACTTGTATTTCAAAGCTGACAAAAATAAATGTAATTAATATATACAGGATAAGGAATATATTTTGTTTGCTATCATAATTGATAAATGAAATTCAAAATATCCAAAATTGAGCCCATGCTGAATTTCCACCTATTTTCCTTAGAAAACCAACGTAGAATATTTTTTTGCTATCATTCATTCCTTCTGGAGATCTTCCTTCTGGAAAATTTGTATTCCTCTTGATGTAATATCCTTTTCTTATTACATTTTCTATGATTTTATGAGGTGGTTCTGATCTATTCTTCGTAACTCATCATCCATAATGATGAAAAAAAATCTATATTTGGCATCCACTATGTTTTCTTGATTCTGATTGTAGTATTTGTGGGAACCAGGTACGGCTTTATGGACTCTCTCTTGATAGATGCGTGCATGCAGGTAACTCTTGTTTTTCATCTTGATGTCTCTTGGTTATCATCCATAACACGCCACTTTTTCAGAAAAAATTCATATTCGATGTATTCGAAATTCCTATGTAATCGTATCCGGCGTGTATTGTAAAACAGTGCTAGGAATCACGTCAATACATCACAACTGTTCCGTTTTTAAATGGATAATCTGCAAATACGCTTGATGACTGAAATATTTTTTTTGTATATCTTGTACACAAACCCAAAAAAGAGAAGAAAATGGATTCTAACAAAAAGAAAGAAATTGCCTTGCATAAAGAAAAGTTGATATTCTATTCTCATTCGAAAAAGATATAAAATATATAAACGTTTCGTAAAAAACGTAAACGTCTAATTATTTAAAAATGTGATTAATAATAACCAACGAATATGCACAAAGTACGAAAAAATAAACCAACTATATATATGTTGTTATTAAACTAACGGATGCCTAATTTCGAGCACACTTGATATATGATATACATGATATATCATATAAATAAATTGTAAAACTGGTCCTCTGTTTCCGGTAGTGGTTTATATTGCGTGTGCACGGCTCCAAACTTGTTGAATGTTTTCAATTGAGATCTATATTAATATAGATAGAATATATATATACATATAAAACACCTGAACTATGGTGCACAGTTAACAGATATATAATATATATCTTAAAATGATATCAATAAATAAGAGAACAAGTTACAAAAGTGTATGTATATATAAGATATATATATAGATATAATGTATATATCTAAAGAGTACACTCGGTTAAGGTGACGCATTTACCTTGGGCCCAGGCACCACCTTGCTTACGGACAGAGAGAAAGGCCAGACACAACGGCGCTTGGTTGGGTCGAACGGATCTGTGTGGCGTAGTCGCGGATGGTTCGGGTTTCGGCCCGTGTATGCCCTCATGGGTGGCCGCTGCCTGACTTACTAGATGGCTAGGTTGGTGGCGTACCAGTAGCAGTAACAGTCGTGGTGTAGTAATAAATGTGATAGTAGTAGTTGTAGCAGTAGTAGTAAGTAGTAGTAGTAGTAGTAATAGTAATAGTATAGTAATAGTAGGGCAGTCATTATGAAAGGTAATATAAAGGGTCAATAATAAAGTTGAGTAATAAAATGTCAAGAGTATATGTGATACAGAAGGATCAGAAAGAGTGAAGATGATACTGGTATGTTTTATAAAGGATATAATAGAAAAAATGTTTGGTAACAATGATAGTGATAATGATATGGAAAGATATTGAGAGAGAGAGAGAGAGAGAGAGAGAGTAAAATAGTGGTGATTGCTGTTGTACACATCCAGGCAAAGATACAGGTCAGAGTCATTGATGATCGTAGAAGGCAGACGACGTTTTTCTCTCCCAGCGATCACGATGAGAAGATCGCAGATACGTAAGAACCTATCTCGTCACTGGGTTTCACCACGTATCACTGCGCAAGTAGTAGAAGGTGGTAGGTGGTAGGTGTACCCAGTGCCACGCGGTTATCTCTCTCACCCGGGACACCTCAGAAACCAACCTGGTGCCACTTGACCTTAAGGCGGGCCCATCGCGTGCATCGTCATCTTTATCATCGCACATCATCAGTCTATTGGCCCTACCGGTCACCCCTCCTCGGTGAAGAGGACATGGCTCTTCGGAAAGAACATCAATTTTATTGTTTTTCTCAACTGTTGGCCGAACGTAAATGAAATAATAAATTGAAAAAGGAACGTCGAAGAATTGAGCGAGAGAAATTCATATATATGTATACTTTTTTCATCAAAAGATAACCAATCATCCGAAAAGTACGATTAGACGATATATATATTTATATATATATGTATTATGCAATGTATATTGATCAAGTAAGACTTGGTCCACATGCACACAAAGGAGCTCTATTTCTGTCTCTTTTTTAATTCATTAGCATGGACATTTAGAGATTTGTGTACATAGATGTATACGTATATACACCACTTTTATAAGATCAAAGATGGAGTGCGTCCTGGTATTTCCCACATAGTTCGCATTTCCCATCGTTTTCCCAAGATTGCCCTTCTCGGTTGGTCTATCTCATGTCTCTGAATCTTCTTCTCCACTGTTTATTTGCTCGACGTCTTCTAATCGTACACACCTCTTCTTTCCAACAGCACGATTCAATTTTCATAGCATTTATTATTTATTATTAGATTTGTTTCAATATTTAAAGATCACATGCCTGTTCTTTTTAACTTCAAGGAACATTTTCTATATCTCTGTTTCTGTACTTTTCGTCTGGTTCTTTCCTTTTCCATTCATTCTGCTCGTTTCTTTGGCGCATTGTTGAGCATTGAGGAAGTTATTAGGATAAAAAATTTTACTTCAAAATTATGCCATAGACTTACTTGATCAAAATGTACATCTTTTTTTTTTTTTTTTTTTTTTTGCAAACTCGGATTTGAGTTTCAGATATCCGTAAACGAACTTAAAAATGGCGAAAGAAAAATCGAATAAAAACATTAGTGCTAAAAATGCCACCGCGTGTAAGTTTGGTTCAACTCGGGGAATATATGAAATCCGGAACGATTAAACGCCAGCGAGAATATATTGGGTCCCCGCGCGCATTTTGGATGAAATATTCGCATATCGTCATCATTCTGGAAACCTCGAGTAGCAATCAAACTCACGAAAAAGCTATCGGATGTGTAGTAAATGTGAAGCAAGGGTACAGATATTGCTTACCTGCCAGCTGACACGACTCGATAGATTTTCCACGGTGAGCCGGTATTCGGTGCGTGTTGGTGGTCCATATCTAAAAAAGGAAAAGCACAAGAATTAACCACTTTGTATTATTTTAAAAGAAGCAGGTTTGTCTTGGACCTGACTTTATACGTAACAATAGCGAAATTCTAAGAATGGAAACGCAAAACTTGATTTATAATATTCAATATTGCAATTATTTAGAAGTTGAATAAATTATAAGATGTATCGTTAGAGCGTAACATTGGATGTATGTACCTGGGCAATGATTGCTTGTAGCTAGATGCAGTCCTCGTGTTTCTGTTCACACTATCTCTGCAAAAAGGGATGTCATGTGAACAGAAATAACGGATCGTTGATTAAACTTTCAGCAAATAACTACAGATCTGCACTCATTGCTCAGGCACACAATCAATCACCTGTTCCAATCGAATCAAATCTACTCAAAATGCAGCAATAGCGTACCTGTCGTGCCGCATATCGTCTCGGCTGTAACAAACACAATACCACACATCTATTAGTCGCCAATTACATCGATCCACCTCTCTCAACTACCAGTAATAAACATAATGTCTGGGAGGGTATTCACTAGGCATTATATATACTAAATATGTTAGATTTCTCGACTAGCGAGATTTTTTTTTTTTAAAACTTTCATTAATTCGACGTACTCGGGAGAGCAGTCAAATCCAAGACAACCAATTCAAACTAATTAGAATTCGTCAGTGCCTAGACGAACTTTCATCGTATGCAAATTGGCAAGCTTTATAACATGTACTCATTCCCTTTCATTCTCTTTCACTCTTTCTTTCATACTCTTTCTATTCTAGAGCTTATCATATCCAAGGTTACGTTCTTCCCTGTACGGGCGATATGCAAAATCATCTTTTATTACATACAATTGGTTTGAATAAATATTTTTTTTTTATATTAAAATATTTAAAAAATTTAAATCGAAAAAATTTATTTAAGATTTTGCATATCTCAAGTTGATTGCCTGCAGGGGAGGAGGGGATAATGATCGCTCTGATAAAATAAAAAAAAGGATAGCGTGTCTTACGCAGATCGCCTCGAGTCCCCATAACCACCACGGGAGTCACCATAGCGCCACTGGTCACTACCCCTAGGTGTCCCCCGGGCCCTCTCTACAGTAATTCTGTAACAAGACACATTGGATATGCTTACTTGTCTCTCCAGGAGCGTGAGCGTCCGTAGCCACGGTCGCCTCGCCTCCCTGAAACACCCCGTGCTATCTCCACCGCCACTCTGAAACACACCCAACAAAACCCCGCCTAAGTCCTCGACTAATTCTTACTCTAAAGCTGCTTCCTTCCTTCCATCCTTCTTTCCATTTTCTTTTCCATTCCTCAGCCTCCTCTCGAAATCCGTTCAAATATCATCCGCCTCGTTCTTTATCTACAAAGTCCAGCCAGGCGCTGTCCCCTCATCATCGTATTTGTCTCTTCATTCCCTCTCTAATTTTTCTAGTTGCTGTCCACTTATAATGCGCAACTTATTCATCAATGTAAATTATATATTGTATAAAATTTCTTGAAGCTTTCTCATAATTAACTGGGATCATTCATGTTTGTAATTTTCCATTTTTATTCCTTTTGCTTCAGTTTTCATTATTTCTAGGAATCACTCAACGAAATTGATTACGATCACCAGAGAATTATGAAAACGCATTAATGATTACAAACATCTTGTTTTTTTTCATTTGATTTGTTAAATAATTTTTCAAAGAAGCAATATACATTACTTAAAATTCTGAGGCATAAAGTTTATCAATAATCTTTTTAAATACATATATATATCGGGGAATTGATGGAAGTAGTTCAAAATGGCGGCAAGTCATATCGGCTATTTAAGTAAGATGCACTTTTATTCCAGAACAAACCCAATCAATAATTTGGAGGACAGACGCCGTTGTTAAACTTAAAGTCAATAACCAAAGAAAAGAAATCGTAAATATGTTGCATTTTAAATTATACAGAAGCAACAGCAGATTATTATATCAATACAAAATAAAATCTAATATACTTTAAAAATATTAAATATTTTAAATATAGATTTTAATATAAACAAGGAAAAATAAAACCTTAAAAATATTATTTACAATTTTAAATTAATTTATAATTGACTTATTCCCAAAAATAATATTAATTTTTTAAATTATATGTAAACAAAGATATTTAATTATTGGTTTCTTATAACCAATAGAACTCTACAATACCTTTAAGTCCAAATGCAAATAACTGGGAAATGTCTAGAACGAAAGCACTTTACTCAATAATGTATGAAAGATTAGTAAAATAAAAAAAATATATATATATAAAAAAAAATTTTTTTCAATGCTATTGCTTCTCATGTATAATCCTACTCATTATGTGCAACATTAACAAAGCTGTATGTTTTCATTTTAAAATTTTTTAAAGAATATTTAAAATTAATAACATATGTGTAAACTAAATCAAAATTATAATGAAATATATTAATGTTACACTTTTAATGTATGTTTAAAATACAACTATAGTAAATAAATAGTAAAAAAGTTGTCAATATTTTAAAAAATTTAATATAAAAAATAATGAACTCTTGTAATTTTCAATAATCACATTACTTTACAGATTGTGTAATTGAAAATTACAAATTCTAATATTTATATAAATGTGAATAAATAAAGATTAAAATTCATAGTAAAAAAAAAAAAAAAACTAATCATGCAAAAAATCATGCTACCTACACCATTCTTCATACTTCTAATATATATTTATATGTATGAACACATAATATTTTAATATCTATTACCTTTCTCCTAGAAGCTCCTTCCCATTGAGTTCGTAGACTGCATCATCTGCATCCCTATAGTCGTCAAATTCCTGCAAACAAAATATATTTATCATAAATCATTATATAAGAAAAATTTATTAGTTTCATTTTTTACATGCAATATTGTATAAAATTCATGTTATTCGATGCATTCATCTCATTGATGTAGTATGGAGTACAGTGTATATATGCATTTGCAATCATTAATATAAATAATAATTCACGAATTCTGTCAATACATATTAATAAAATGAAATAGCAATCTATAGAAGAAGAAAACTCAATTAGTAATTTAAATAAATTTAATTTAGAAAATTTTAAAAAGTTATTTGATTTCATAATTTGGTTTTCAATTTTATTATAATTGGTATTTTACCTCAAATATAAGTGGCAATTAAATAAGTAACACGATTTCCTTTTGATAATACATAACTTACAAATATTTTGTAGATTAATCGATGAAAACCAGCACACAGTTCCATTAAGCAGCCACAGTACCAATGTGTTCAGGGCTCAAGGTAGGTCAGATCAACTCACGAGTTCAAGTTATTTTTTAAGTAAAACACTTTACCTTCTACACATTTTGGTCAGCAATAAATTAATAAAATATAATAAAACTTGAAAATTATTATATCAAAATTTTATTTAAATATCGTAGTTTAAAGTTATTATAAAAATAAAAGATAAAATAACGAACGTAAAATATCGATACTTAACTTAAACATAGTATATATATGTCACATATCGACGATAATTCATAAACCTAGTGGAAATAAAGATGGATGCATTTTCAAGCGCTAAATGTAATACATAATTTTTCAACTTGCAAATAAAAAATTTTTAATAAAAATTGATAAATAATAAGACCAAACTGAGTAGAGTAAAGTGTTAAGTATGTGTATAAAATTTGATTCAAGTACTTACAACAAAACCGTAACCGTTCTTGATGAGGACATCACGGAATCGACCGTAGCCTCTGAAAAATCTCTCAAGGTCTCTTTCCCTGGTGCCGTATGGAAGCCCACCGACATAGACCCTTGTCCCTACCATACTGTAAAAAAAACAATTGAACCACATTAGACTTACCACAAAGGCAAATCCATTCTTCATAGCGACCTCCTTGATTCTACCATATTTCCGGAAGAACTTCTCAAGGTCGCGCTCTCTCACCCGGTATGTTAATCCACCAACGAATACTCGGGTGCTCATTCTTAAAGGAAAATATAAAAATACCATACATAACAGGCTACTTTAAGAACCTGTCATTTATTCACATGACAACATAAGTACTGTTATGTTAATTTCCAATATTCTGGCTGAGAATGGCAATGCAACTCAATAAAATTGATATTTGTAACTTTATTTTATATTTCTGTATTTTGGCAATCTATATCAAAGAAAGCTTTGCAAGTAAAATATTATTTGTGGATATTAAACTGACTGCAGTAGATCACAAGTGCAATGTAGAAATGCTATTATAATATCAATATTTTTCCCAAACCTAACATTCCTTATAGTTGAATATAGTACTTCATCATACATTCTTCTATAACAATCATACAGAACATTCTTAATGAAATAAATTAAAATGATTGATTAATAAAAAGTTTAAAATATTAAAATGTTAGATTAATATATAATTAAAAATTCAATACATTGATAAGTAAAATTTAAATTATATTTAAATATTACATTAATATAAATTAAAAATAAATATAATCACATGACATGCTAAATTTTATGCAAAAATTTATAATATGTATATAATTCAAAGCCATATGTTCATTCCACATTAAAACAAAAAATAATTCTAAAAATAAAAGCATTAATATCTATAATAATATCTAGTCGATTCTATTAAAATAATATAATATTTAAAATAATACAACAATATTGAATGTACAAAAAATTTTAGAAAGTTAGAACAACTTATTGAATTATTTATAGTTTGTTTTTAAGCCAAAAGATAAAAATATATTTAAAGCAATATAATTTATAATAATGTTAAGCACATCTCATGCACTTGTAGGTAACAAACAATTCTTTGCTTACATATAATCAAACAAAAAGTGTTTTAATTTGCACACTGATGAAATGATAAATTACTATTATCTACTAAAATATTTATTTTCATGCTTACTCAGCCAAAAAGTGTTTAAGCAAGTATTAAGAAAATATGAACATTAGTCGCGTTCGGTATTTATATTTAATTATTTTAAATAGAGAAAATAGTAAGACGAAAAATTTGATTGGAAATATCGAACTCGTCTAATGTTAAAAATTATTACAAATATGTAAAACAATGTGCAATATATAGAACTTTATTTCAATATACTATAAACACATTTATCATCCAAGCATTAATCTTTAAAATCTCTGTACTATAAAATTATTGCATCTATTTATTTATAATTAAGAAAATATTTTTATACATTTATTAAAAGATTTTAAGTATGATTGTACTTTATGTTAGTATACCGTTTTATACCATACGTTGAAAATTTCTTCCTTTACCTACCGCAATTTCTTTTGAAGATTAAGAGCTATGTATTTTTTTTTTTTTTTATAAAAATTTTAATTTGTTCTTTGAAATTAATATTTTTATGTAATAAGCGGGACTTAATCTAAAAAAAATGTAGTATATTTCAAGCACCAGCGACAAACCGTGTTTTTTATTGGACACTCGTTTCATAAAATGGCGGTCGTGTGATTGCTTATCGTCCTCCTTTTCTGCTACGTAATTTACCGATTATATGGAGATAAAAACTGTATTTACAAAAACATAATGCGTTTATATAAAATAATTATATTTATAGCAAAACATTATTTTTTCTGTAATCGAGAAAACCTCTCGAAAATTATCAGTATGATGCAAAATTTAGCGATAACGCTAAATTGGAAGAGCTATAAATTAATCATAGAACAAGATAATATCTAAGAAATAATTACATGTATATATGTATCATATATATAAAATTGAAAATCTATTATATTAATCATGAAAAAATCTTGCGAGCAATCATTCATACGACGTAGCATTTGGAAAGCATTTGCCACGTCATTAATATAATACAAAAATATACAATGAATAATTTGAATCACGATTAAAAATTACAATTAGAATTTTTTTCTTTTATTATCTATGAATTATCATTAAAGCATCATGATATGATATGATATGAAGGTATTTATGATTCGTGATTATTCCATCCGAAAAACAAAGTATTTGCAAACAAATTACTTTTTTAATGCATGTATAATATCACAGAAAAAAAAATGTTTACAAACTTACCTGAATATACGTAAAAAATGTTGCTTTGTTCACTAAAAGCTTATGCTCTCACGACACGACACGACTGAAATTACTAGAAGAAGTAATGATCGGCGTCTGAAGTAAGATGGCTCGTTGCAATAACGGAAACAAAACGGGGTTCACACAACGAAAAACAAAGTCGCTAGCTGTTTATGTCTCGATACCAGACGCCTAGAATTAGAAATTTATTATAATTTAAAATAAATTGTATAAATCTTATATAATAATATGAAATTATTATTTACTAATAACATAATATTATTACATATAATATTATTACATATAATATAAACTAATATTTCTTCATGTATTATCGTATAGATTAATATCCCCTCTCTAGCAAAATTTTTCTCTATGAATAAGTTACGTATTTACTACGTTTAAAATAATAAAGTTTATAATTATTCATTGTCTTAAATTGTTACTTACTATCATAATATAAGTACAATTGTTAATAATTTTTATTATATTAACTGCTAGTCATAAATACGTGCAAATATAATTCACATGCGATATAATATGCGCAGTCATATAGAGCGGGATATTCAAATAATCATTTGAAAGCTAATAATATTTAAACAATATTACTTTTAAACTGAGTTTCATAATTTGAAATAAATTAACATATTTATTTCTTTTAATATAATACAAGTACTGTAAGAAAAAATATAAATTAAGTTTTTTTACTTTAAAATTGAATTATAATTTTTTATTTATTGCTTAATTTTATATTAAATACATGATGTATAATAAAATAAATTTTAAATAACGAATATGATTAAAACATTGAAATAATATATAATTGATGTAATATTATCTATTTAAAATGCAAATAAAAAATATATTCGTATATTATATGTACTTTATATAAATAATAAAATTATTTTGTTCTCAGTAAACGTTGGAAAAGCTATGGATCTTCTATACGTTGATTAAGCTGGCGCCACCTATTGAAAACAAAAATGGTGGCCAACAATATGCCCTATCCCTGCCCTGGTTTTATGGCACGCCAAATGTCTGCGTTCTCTAGGCTTCTTTCTACTATGTATTTCCCTCCGTCTGATACACCCAATTTCGATGTGAACAAAGGGAATCATTTCCTCGCGATCGACCCTATCTTACGTGCTAAATAAGTGGGGCTACTTCTAACCAAACCGAAGGTGATCCAAAACTATCGAATATTTCGCGAAATTATAACCGCACAAGCTCGATTCGTCGTGTCATTCACCTTATATAATGTAATTGGTTACATACAATTCCATACGGCGGTTACATGCCTTTAACATGTATTACCCGTTACAGGAAACAGAAAATAAACAATCTAGCATTGTGGCAATGCAATAAGGAGCAAAATCCTATATGCTTTATTAATACAAAGCACAAGATAGATGTTTTATTTTGCTACATGCTACGTACAAATTATATATAAAAAATTTCCTGTCGTCTATGTAACATGTATCACCAAAACCATTTAATATATTTATTGAAATGTCAAATAATCACAGGGTCATATTAGGTTCGTACTCTTGCAGATAAAGTATTTGTTTCCTTGACAACGGGTCTACTGATACTAATATTTTAAATAAATTTCACTAAGTGATTTATTAAATAAATAATTTTTCTTTAAAGTTTTTTTTAAATAGCTTTTCTTTGATATAAGATCTATGTATATAATATGTTACAAAAAATATAAAAGGTAGATTTCTTATAATAATAAAGGATTTACAATTATTTATTATTGACAATATAATTTCATTATTGTAGGTTGTTGAATTTTATATAAATTGGTAATGACAGATAGAGCACACACAATGAGGTTGGAAGCAGAAATGGCTGCTCCTTTGCATTTGCAAAGATTAGAGCGTAGTCTTAATGTACAGCCTTTTTTAAGGCAAATTAATGAATTGTTTCAAGAACCAACTAGGTAGATTTTTCTTATATTTAATAAAATATGACTTATAATAAAAAAATATATGACTTATAAATAAAATATGAATTTAATAAAAAATTACTGCTTTATTAATTTCTACAGTGAGGATGACAAATCTGTATCATCAGAATCTTCTGAAGGATCAGATAGTTATCTCGATAATGTTTTGATTCGAAAAGAAGGTCTGTAAATTGTTAATATTTTAAAAATAACTATTTTGTTATTTGTATAATATTTACATTTACTAATAATATTTATAATGTTAATTTTTCAGAGGAAAGAATAAATAAACTGAGACTCTATAATATGACAAGTGTAGGAGAAGAACGACATTGGTTGCAGGATATTTTATTAAGTGATTCGTCAGATAGTTCTGCTTCAGGATCTGATACAGATAATCCCATTACAGAAGAAGATTTTCAAGAAATGTTGAAGTATCATATACTTAGGAAAAAATATCAAGCACGTTTTTACCAAAAACCAGAAGTGAGACTAAAATTTAAGTTAAAATCAATAAAATTAATAAAATAAATAATAATATGAAATTTTTGTTTTCAGAACATTCAATACCAATACTATAGTGCTGGTTTATTATCCAATTATGATAGATTTTTAGAACATCAAAAATTAATAGTTGGAAATAAAAAGAAAAAAGAAAAGAAACCAGAAAAGAAAGTTATGAAAATAAAAAAAGAAAAAATATCGCGTCATAGATCTTCTGAAGATTATCCTGTATGTAAAATAAAAATTAATGTGATATATTTCAAAGATAGAATATTATTATAAATATTTTAGGAAGGTGATTATCCAGATGAAGATTGGGATCGTACTATCCCTAGAGAAGAGGAATTAGATGAAGCTGAATTAGAAGCAATAATGCGTCATCAACCTCGTCAGCGCGGTAGAAAAAAACATAATAATAAAAGTCCAGAAGTAATGGCAATGAGAAGAAGAAAGATTTGGGTAATGATGTCTAAAAAAGAACTAGGAAAAGTACAAAGAGCAAAAACTAATAATCATAAAGAAATGTTAATTAGTTGTAAAAAAGTAGCACAACATTGTATGAAATATTGGAGACAAAAAGCTATGCAAGTGAGTATTGATACATTATTATTTAATTTTATTCATAATTTTAAATTCATTTTTATGTTTACATTTTACATTTTATAGTCTCAAAAGAATATGAAAGAGACTATATGGAGAGCTAAACGTCTCACAAGAGAAATGCAATCTTATTGGAAACGTTATGATCGAGTTGAACGTGAAACAAGAAGAAGATTAGAAAAAGAAGCTGAAGAACAGCGAAAAATGGATGTCGAACTTATCGAGGTAATTAATAATAGATATTTTTATAATATATTTTAGTTCTAATAAAAATGTATTTTATTTAAAAATTTAGGCAAAACGGCAACAAAGGAAATTAAATTTTCTTATTACACAAACTGAACTTTATGCTCATTTTATGTCTCGAAAATTAGGGAAAGCTTCTCCTGAAGAACAATTAAGAATTTTAAATCAATTAGATGAAGAAAAAAATCCAAGACTTGTTGGAATTGACGATTATGATAGGTAAATTTATTAATTATATACACTTTATTTATTCTATACATATTTTGTATATTGTGAAAGTATGTTATAACTTTATTTATTTAACAGTGAAGCTATGAAACAGAAAGCAAAAAAGAATGCTACAGAAGCATTTGATAATGAAAAAGCTCGAGCAAAACAATTTGATACAGCAGCTGCGTCTCAAGAATTACGTCTTAGCGATACACCCGAAAATTTAGAACATCCACAACCTTCGATTTTTAAGGGAAATCTTAAAGGTTACCAACTAAAAGGAATGAATTGGTTAGCTAATTTATATGATCAGGTTGGTTTATATTAAATAATAAATTAATAGATTATAATATAAGAAAATTGTAAAATAATATGTGTACATAAATATTTTTCACATTTTTTTAAGGGTATTAGCGGTATTTTGGCTGATGAAATGGGTTTGGGTAAAACAGTACAATCCATAGCTTTTTTATGTCATGTTGCCGAAAGATATTGTAAGTTATTTAATAAATATTTTTGTATTTCAAAAATATTTTTAAATATTTACAATATAATTACAATATATAATTTAATAAATGTATTTTTTTTATAGCTGTATGGGGACCATTTTTAATTATATCACCAGCTTCAACATTGCATAATTGGCAGCAAGAAATGGCACGATTTGTTCCAATGTTTAAAGTAGTTCCATATTGGGGTAATCCACAAGAGCGAAAAATATTAAGACAATTTTGGGATACTAAAGATTTACACACGAAAGAGGCTTCATTTCATGTAGTGATAACAAGCTATCAATTAGTTATTACAGATTATAAATATTTTAATAGAATAAAATGGCAATATATGATCTTAGACGAAGCACAAGCTATAAAAAGCACTAGCAGGTTTGTATTTATTCATTTATATTTACATTTTATAAACAGAATTTAATATTTGTTTTTTTTTATAGTATGAGATGGAAATTATTGCTTGGATTCAGTTGTCGTAATAGATTGTTACTAAGCGGAACACCTATTCAAAATAGTATGGCAGAATTATGGGCATTGTTACATTTTATAATGCCTACTTTATTCGATTCTCACGATGAATTTAACGAATGGTTTTCTAAAGATATTGAAAGTCATGCTGAAAATAAAACGGGAATTGATGAAAGTAATATATTTTTATTTCACAAATTTTGTATGATATAATAGAATAATATTTTAAATTTAATATTTTTTTCTTATATTTAGAGCATTTATCAAGGCTACATATGATTTTAAAGCCTTTTATGTTGCGTAGAATAAAGAAAGATGTAGAGAATGAATTATCTGATAAAATTGAAGTAATGGTGTACTGTCCTCTTACTACTCGTCAAAAATTACTTTATTCAGGTAACAGTGTGATGTTTTCATATTAAAAAATTATATTTTTTATAACAAAATTAAATTTAAATTAATTTATAACTAAAAATTATTATATTAAATGTATTTTTTTTTGACAGCATTAAAAAAGAAAATTAGAATAGAAGATTTATTGCATTATACGGTCGGTGGTGGTGATACTGCATCTAATGATAAAAATTTTACATCAAATCTTATGAATCTAGTCATGCAATTTCGAAAAGTATGTAATATTTATAAAATTTAATTAATCTTAAGATAATATCATATTC